AAATAAAAGATCCAAGGAAACAAACAAATAAAAGATACATGGAGAGCAAGATTTTAAAAATGCTAACTTTTGGGGCACCTGGGTGGCTCAGTCAGTTAGGCATCCAACTCTTAATTTTGGCTCGGGTCATGATCTCAGGATCCTGATATCAAGCCCTGTGTCAGGCTCCAAGCTCAGCACAGAGTCTTCTTTTCACCCCCTCTCACTCCTTCTGCCCCTCCTCTTGCTCACACAGGCTCTCTTTCTCTAAAATAAATAAATAAATAAATAAAATCTTTTTTAAAAATATAAATAAATAAATGAATAAAAATACTTTTATGCAATTTGTTAACATTCACACAAATTAATATCAAATATGATAATCTGAATTTTATTTTTCCCCAAGAGTTTTATCCCTCAAACTGAAAATGATTCTGTGTTAGATCCACAGTTCTCAAACTGGGTCCCAAGGTACCACAGGTTGCCATAGCAGCAAGCCTGTGGGGCAACATAGAATATTTTATTTATTTTTATTTTTTTAATTCCAATATCGTTAACATACACTGTTATATTTGTTTTCAGTGTACAATATAGCAATTCAATAAGTCCATAGATCAGCCAGTGCTCATCATGACAAGTACACTCCTTAATTCCCATCACCTATTTCACCCATCCCCCTACCCACCTCCCCTCTGGTAATCATCAGTTTCTTCTCTATAGTTAAGAGTCTGTTTCTTGGTTTGTCTCTCTCTCTCTTTTTTCCCCCCCTTTGCTTGTTTGTTTTGTTTCTTAAATTCCACATATGAGTGAAATCATATGGTATTCGTCTTTCTCTGACTCATTTCACTTAGCATTATATTCTCTAGCTCCATCCATGTTGTTGCAAATGTCAAGATTTCATTCTTTTTCATGGCTGAATAATATTCTATTCTATATATATATCCCATCGTCTTTATCCATTCTCCATTCATCTATCGATGTACACTTGAGCTGCTCCCATACTTTGGCTATTGTAAATAATGCTCCTATAAACATAGAGGTGTATGTATCTCTTTGAATTAATGTTTTTGTATTTGGGGGATAAATACTCAGTAGTGTGATTACAGGATTTTAGGGTAGGTGATTCTATTTTAATTTTTTGAGGAACCCCCATACTACTTTCCACAGTGGCTGCACCAGTTTGCATTCCCACCAACAGTGCAAGAGGGTTCCTTTTCTCCACAGCCTCACCAACACTCGTTTCTTGCGTTTTTGATTTTAGCCATTCTGACAGGTGTGAGGTGATATCTCACTGTGGTTTTGATTTGCATTTCCCTGATGATGAGTGATGTTGAACATCTTTTCAAGTGTCTGTTGGCCTTCTGGATATCTTTGGAGAAATGTCCGTTCATGTCTTCTGCCCATTTTTTAATTGGATTATTTGTTTTGGAGGTGTTGTGTTGTATAAGTTCTTTATGTATTTTAGATACTAATCTTTTATTGGATATGTCATTTGCAAATATCTTCTCCCATTCCATAGGTTGCCTTTTAGTTTTGTTGATTGTTTCCTTCACTGTGCAGAAATTTTTATTTTGATGTAGTCCCAGTGGTCTATTTTTGCTTTTATTTCCCTTGCCTCAGGAGACACATCTAGAAAAAGGTTGCTACAGCCAATATCAGAGACATTACTGCCTGTGCTGTCTTCTAGGATTTTTATGGTTTCAGGTCTCACATGTAGGTCTTTAATCCATTTTGAGTTTATTTTTGTGCATGGTGTAAGAGAGTGGTCTAGTTCCATTCTTTTGCATGTAGCTGATCAGTTTTCCCAGAACCATTTGTTGAAGAGACTGTCTTTTCCCATTGGATATTCTTTCCTGCTTTGTCAAAGATTAATTGATCGTATAATTATGGGTTTATTTCTGGGTTTTCTATTTCATTCCATTGATCTATGTGTCTATTTTTGTGCCAGTACCATACTGTTCTGATTACTACAGCTTTGTAATATTACTTGAAATCTGGAATTGTGATACCTCTGGCTTTGCTTTTCTTTTTCAAAATTGCTTTGGCTATTCAGGGTCTTTTGTGGTTCCATACAAATTTTAGGATTGTTTGTTCTAGTTCTGTGGAAAAATGCTATTGGTATTCTGATAGGGATTGCATTAAATCTGTAGATTGCTTTGGGTAGTATAGACATTTTTTTTTTTAAGATTTTATTTATTTATTCATGAGAGACAGAGAGAGAGAGAGAGAAGCAGAGGGAGAAGCAGGCTCCCACGGAGCAGGGAGCCCGATGCGGGACTCGATCCCAGGACCCCGGGATCATGACCCGAGCCGAAGGCAGACGCTTAACCATCTGAGCCACCCAGGCGCCCTAGTATAGACATTTTAACAATATGTGTTCTTCCAATCCATTAGCATGGAATAGCTTTCCATTTCTTTGTGTCATCTTCAGTTTTTTCTCACCAATGTTTTATAGTTTTCAGAATACAGGTCTTTCACCTCTTTGGTTAGGTTTATACCTAGGTATCTTATTATTTTTGGTGCAAATGTAAATGGGATTGTTTTTTAATTTCTCTTTCTGCTGCTTCATTATTAGTGTACAGAAATGCAACAGATTTCTGTACATTGATTTTATAGCCTATGACTTTACTGATTTCACTTATCACTTCTAGTAGCTTTTTGGTGGAGTCTTTCAGGGTTTTCTATGTATAGTATCATGTCATCTGCACATAGTGAAAATTTTACTTCATCCTTTCCAATTTGGATGCCTTTTATTTATTTTTGTTGTCTGATTGCTGTGGCTAGGACTTCCGTGTTGAATAAAAGTGGTGAGAGTGGACATCCTTGTCTTGTTCCTCTTCTTAGGGGGAAAGCTCTCAGTTTTTCCCCACTGAGTGTGATATTTACTGGGGTTTTTCATATATGGACTTTATTAGAAACAGAATATTTTAAATTTTTAAGGTCATCACAGTGATACTCAACATCTGTTAGAAATTATGTGAACTTCTGGGCAGGTGCCTGGGTGGTGCAGTCGGATGGAGGTCCAACTCTTGGCTTTGGTTCAGGTCCTGATCTTGGGGTTTTGAGATTGAGCCCCACGTTGGGCTCTGTGCTCAGCACAGAGTCTGCTTAAGACTCTCTCTCCCCTGCCCCTGCTCTCTCTCTCTCTCAAATAAATGAATAAAAATTTTTAAAGATTTTATTTATTTGACAGAGACAGAGAGAGAAAGAGAGCACAAGCGGGGGGTGGGGGCAGGCAGAGAGAGAGGGAGAAGCAGGTTTCCCCCTGAGCAGGGAGCCTGATGTAGGGATCATGACCTGAGCCGAAGGCAGATGCTTAATTGACTGAGCCACCCAGGGTGCCCCAGTAAATAAATCTAAAAAAAAAAAAAAGAGAAAGAAATTATATGAGCTTCTTTAAAAAAAAAAAAAAGAAGAAAGTTAAAAAAAGGGGTGCCCAGCATTTAAAAATAAAATCTTAAAAAAAAAAAGAAATTATGTGACCTTCTAGTATGAGGTTGATCATGGTTTTGATGATGTCATATCTTTGCAAAGCTGGGTTTCCTGCAGTTGCTCTGATGAAATCAAGTACTGCATGAATATCAGTATGGAGCAGGAAATGAGTGTGGCAGCATCTAATCTGAGCTTTAAAGTTGTACAGCACCCAACAGGCTCACGTATTCCATTAGGAAGTAATTTGATTACTTAAAAATGAAATAAGAATACTATTTGCTTCTTCAGTTTCTATTTTTAATGACTACTAAATTGTGAAATCATAAATATATGTTAAGATATTTGGATCTAACAGGGCACCTGGGTTGTTCAGTTGGTTGACCATCCAACTCTGATTTCAGCTCAGGTCATGATCTCAGTGTTCTGAGATCAGGGTCCTGAGATCAAGGTCCTGAGCCCGCATTGGGCTCCTTGCTGAGTGTGGAGCCTGGTTAAGATTCTCTCTGCCTCTCCCTCTACCCCTTCCCCTGCTCGCACATGCTCTCTCTCTCCAAAAAAAAAAAAGGTATTTGGATCTAACAACTTAATGAATGGAATTATTAAGTATTTCTTTTGGTGTGAGTTACCATGAAAAAATTACTGAGACACTAAGACCACAGTTAATCAAGAAAGTTTGAGAACCTTGGTTTTCTCAATTGTAAACTGAGTCTAATAATAGTGTCTACTACACAGGGTTGCAGTAAGATTAAATGGATTAATATATGAACAATATTTAGCATAGTATCTGGTGGGGGTGCCAGGCTGGCTTAGTTGGTAGAGCATGCAACTCTTGATCTCAGGGTCGTGAGTTCAAACCCCACATGGATGTAGAGATTACTTAAAAAATTAAAATCTTAAAAAAAAAAAAAGAATAGTATCTGGCAAGTTGTCACAAGAGTACTATTATCACCTCATTACCAGGTTATCAGGATGGTTTTTTTTGTTTGTTTTTTTAGTTCACATTTTCTCATTTATTATCAGCACTTAAAAACAAGGAGGCTTGGGGCACCTGGGTGGCTCAGTTGGTTAAGCGTCTGCCTTCGGTTCAGGTCATGATCTCAGGGTCCTGGGATCAAGCCCCACATCGGGCTTCCTGCTCGGTGGGGAGCCTGCTTCTCCCTCTCCCTCTGACCCTCCGCCTGCTTGTGCTCTCGTGCTCTCTCTCAAATAAATAAAATCTTAAAAAAAAAAAGAAAAAACAAAAAACAAGGAGGCTTAAAACAAACAAACAAAAACAACAAGGAGGCTTAATAAAAACAAGCAGAGAAACTGTTTTCTGTTCTCTCTCAAACCCACAAGACATAATGAATAAGGCCCAATGGGTCCCTCATCCCAGCAAGTCTAGGATCACTCAGGCAGGCAGCCCTACACAAAGCATAATGATGAAGAGTATAACCAGAAGCCACAAGTATATTTTTCTGTCACCTTTTCTTAGGTTATCAATGCATTTCAAGAATCTCTTGATTTCTTTGCAATGATTCAAAATCCCTAGAAGACAAATGGCCATTTGCAGCAAGAATGTGCTCCATGTGCCAAGCTTCCACACCATGTCACTTTTTTGTTTTTTCAGTCTCAGAGCTTGCCAATGCAAGAACCTTGTCTCCAGAGCCAAGGTCTGTAGAGACTTTCTCAAACTGCCTGATAGAGCACCTGCATCTGCTGACAAGAAGGTCTTGTCATCTGCAGTCAGCTTCTCTCCAAGTGTCCTGAGAGCTGTTAGTATCTCCACTTTCTGTTGAGTGTAGAGGCCTCTTTCCAGCTTTTCCACCCTGAGATCTCTATCCATCTCTACTAACCTTGTCCGAAGCTGACAGGGTTGTTTCTTTGCAAGTAATCTGATGACCTCCAGGGTTTGAAAGGCCTGGCTGATAGCTGCCTGGTTAGCCAGTTGCATTCAACTTAGCTCATCTACCAAAGTCATATTTCCGGGCATAATTTTCTTCAGTGAATCATTAAATTCACTTAGTTGCTCCAGAGTTTCCTTTTGTGGTTTCTTCATAGTCATCTGTATCAAGTTCCTCTCTGCATTCCTCCAAATCTTGTAATTGCTGCATTACTCTATCCAACTGTTCTTCTAAATTCTGCTTTAATTTGCTTGTCTCTGTCTTTCCTCTGGAAGCCATTTTGATCTCTTGTCTTTTCGTACTTTGAACTCTGCAGTGTTGACTGGTCCCAAAGTGCATAAACCTTCAACCGTTGAAGTTTCAAGTGTCATAAACCTGAGGAAACTAAAACTGTTCATCAGGACTACAAGAAGCTCAAAAGTTCAAACCACTTGGAGGTGCAGTTGGCTCCTCCTCAGTGTCCCCTCTCCCCAGGACAGTTCTTTTCAACGATCCTATACTTATTTCTATGTAATAGGAAAAAAACAGTTTTGGAGTATGTCTATGCATCAGTCACATTAAGACTTTATAACTGCCATAATGCTCATAAATTTCTATTTAAATTTACTATCTGGGAAGAGAACAGAAATGACTCCATTTCTTTATTGTTTGATTTCTTTGATTTTTAGGTCTCCTGGGATTGAAATCTTCATCCAACTGTTTATTTAACAGCTAGAAACAGAATTTGTCCCTGGTACGTAACAGGGAGTTTTAAAAATTGCTATCAAAAACTCTTTTCCAACAGGCTTACACCTTTTCAACCAAATATTTTTAGGGACGCCTGGCTGGCTCAATCAGTAGAGCATGCAACTCTTAATCTTGGGGCTGTAATTCTGAGCCCCACATTAGGTGTAGGGAGAGGCTACTTAAAAAAAATAAAATCTTAAAAAAAAACAAAATTTTTTTTTAAATTTGTTCAAGGAAACATGTAATAAGGTTTTTGACCTCCCACCACTCCCTTCTCCCCAAATGATGGCTTCCCATAAGCTATTCTGCTAAGGAGGCAGGCAGAATCAACTCACTATACATTGATGACAGTTTTTGTCTTGCTGTAGCTTAGGAAATTCCTTGGAAGTGCTTTAATTACCATTTCTTTTTAATTTTTATATAATTCCAAACTTACAGAAAAGTTGTAAAAACAGTACAAAAATATTACTGTATACCTCTCACCAAGATTTCCCATTCATATTTTACCACTATAAAATTTACTACTTTTCTCTTTGTAGTTAATAAATATCTTGTGAGAACATACTTGTGACTATGTAAATATCCTGTTTCTCATCCATCATTCCTTCTACATTTATTAGCTGACATTCTACTGTAAAGGCTTATTTTCCCTTGTCCCACATGTCTTATTTATTTATGTGTTTACATATTTTTATTTTATTCCATGGGTTATAATACATTACTATCATTTTTTATTTTTATGCTTAATTGTCCCAGATTTGGCTGGTAGGAAACCTTTCAGTATGGCTCTTTATCATTTCAACATGTCCCACCATCCTTTGAGCACTTTCTAACTTAGTAGCTTACTGTGAGGCATCATATGAGGTTCATCTTATTCTTTCCCAGCTCTAGCTCTGGAACCAGCCAATTCTCCAAGGAGCCCTGGTTCCTTTCAGTAGCAAATGGAATTTAGAAACCATGTTCTGGGTGCTAGGTGTGCTTATTGCTCCTGGGGTATCATTGCTTCAGAGCTTTCTCAGGGACAGAGCTAAAAAATTATATACATATATACACACATCCATATCTATCTATATTAAAAGCCATGAGTTCATACTGTCTTGTCCAACTCTAATCCAGTACTATAGGATATATTCTACTCTTTTCTCTTCCCCTATTTGTAACTCTTTTCTCTCAGTGAGAAATTTGAATCCCATTGTCCATAATATTTTTACTTATTTACCCTATCCCAGAATACACAGAAAGTAGTTTTAGAATTGTTACCAAAAACAAACAAAACAAAGACAAAAGCCAACCATTGTTGGTTTTATAGTTCATTTTTTCTTTAGTCTGAGAGTATATAGTTTTTAAAAATTATATTCTCAAGTTATTTGGCTTGAGTTAGTTTCCCTTCCCTCCCACCACACCTGCATTTCAGTGTGATTATATAATTCATTTGAAACTTAGGTTGATTTGTTCATATTCCATTATTAGGATTTTCCCCTATTTGTGTGTGTATATGTGTTTCTTTTTTTTTTTTAATATATGAATCATTAACATGGCTCTAAAAGATAGAACCATACAAAAAGTAATATTCAGGGGGCACCTGGGTGGCTCAGTCTGTTAAGCATCTGCCTTCAGCTTAGGTGATGATCCCAGATAGGATCGAGTCCCGCATCGGGCTCCTTGCTCATCGAGGAGTCTACTTCTTCCTCTGCCTGCCGCTCCCCCTGCTTGTGCTCTCTCTCTCTCTCTGTCAAATAAATAAATGAAATCTTTTTTAAGAATGTTTAAAAAAAGGGGGTGGGGGATGCGTTAGCCCGGTGATGGGTATTAAGGAGGGCACGTATTGCATGGAGCACTGGGTGTTATACGCAAACAATGAATCATGGAACACTACATCAAAGACTGATGATGTAATGTATGGTGACTGACATAACATAATAAAATAAAATTAATTAAAAAAAAGATGCTGAATGAAAAAAAAATTTAAAAAAAACCCAAAAAGTAATATTCAGGAGAAATGTCACTTTCCATCTTCTGCTCAGTACCCACCCCCCCCCCGTCACACTTCCAAACACATTCCCACCCACCTCCTGTAAATAACCTATCTTGTTAGTCTCTGGTTTATCTTTCCTGTTTTCCTTTTTGGTGAAAAAGCAAGCACATGCATATTTTCTCATTTCCCTTCCCCCCGCCTTTTTTTTCTTACACAAAAGGTAGCATACTGTATACCTTTGTTCTTTGCTTTTCTCATTAAACAGTATATCCCTGGAAATCATTCCATATCAGTTTGCAGACATCTACCTCCTTCTTTCTTACAGAGGTGTAAGATGTGTAAGCTCTGTTACATGCTTGCACCAGAGTTTATTCAACCACTCTCTTCTACATGAGCATTTAGATGGTCTCCAGTATTTTGCAAATACAAACAATGCAGCAATAATTGATCTTGTGCACATGTATCTCCATATTGTTGGAGGTGTATATTTAGGGTGAATTCTTAGAAGTAGGATTACAAGGCCAAAAGTAAACACTTTTGAAGTTTTTAGATACCTAAGAAGTTTTTAATGTAGAGATTTAAAGTCATTTTTGTGATAATGTTCATTATGTATTTATCCATATAGGTATTTTTGTTTTCGATTCTGGGCTACTAGGCTTTTATGCCTTTTAAGCAGCACAATTATATCTTAATAAATGTGTTCCGGTGATTATAAGCAATTGACTGACAAAATTCTTCTTAAGTACGTATTAGATTTTTGTATGTGTGTGTTTAATTAGATTTTCGCACCAAGGGTAGTGTCAAAAATAAGGAAGGAACAAATCCCTTAGATCTGAAAAACAATAGGTATATAAGGATAGATCACATTCTATCTGTGGGGATGACATAATATTTTTACATCACTAAGGAGGAGGGATTTCCTCCCAGAAGAGTTGATGAACTGAAGTCACTGGAAACATGATGAATAGTGAGGGGAACAAGTTTGCTGGTGCTACAAGTCTGGTTAATTATACTGTAAATCATGCAAACACCGACATTTCGAACAAAAAGCTCTCCAGATGTCATTTCCTTCTCACTAAAAGAACAGTTCTTTTAAAAATAGGAAGATTGGTAATTATCTTAGGCTGAGAATATACAAAATGTGGACTTTAATGCCTAGAGATGCAGAGAAGCTTCACGGCTTTGAAGTCTATAAGGCATTTTAAAAATGCTTTGTAAATATGATTTGATACTCTTGATTAAGCATTGTAGAAGAAAGGACAACCAACTCCCACCTCTGTAGTCTATGGTCAGTATAATAATATTATTCTGGAGTTTTATTATTTATGTCTTTCTTTTGGGAGTCTTCCTTTAAATAGAGTCTAGGATTCCCCAATAATTCTTTACCCCTTAGAAAGGTAAATGTTTCATTTGGAAACCTTTGTGGGATTTGGGCTTTCACAGATGAAGATCAAAGATAAAAATTAGTCCTCCGCTCCACTGCTGACTGATGTCAACAAATCCTCCCTTGTCCCCCGCCTCTTCTTTTCCACTATAAAAGGAAAAGAATTTCTCTATGGCACAGATATTGTTATTTTACCACATTTGCTTTATCATTTATACTTTGATGATTTTGTTAACATAGTGTCCGCAAGGATTCTCTACTGTAAATTTATTGTTTTTCTCTTTGTAATTAATAAGTACCTTGTGGGATATACACGTGACTCTGAATATCCTCATGTTTCTCATATGCAGGGAAGAGTTTCATGATGAGGCTTCAAATTCCCAATAGGGGTCCTCACTATATCTCCTTAAATACGGTATTATTGAAATTACCTCATGCCAAACATCTATACCCAAAGAAAACCACGTTTCATTTGTTACTGCTTTCATCTTGGCATCACTAAGATGAAGCAATGCAGCGTTGCTTAAAGAGCTCAGGTTTGGGAATCACACAGATTGGGTTCAAAATGCAGCATGGCTGTATACTACCTATATAATTTCAGATGCAAGCTATTTAATGTCTTTGAGCCTCAGTTTCTTCTTCAGAAAAACAAGTATAATTATTAATCTCATAGGACTGTTGTGAGACTTCAATGAGCTCTTCTAATATGAAAAGTACCCAGAACTATGTGCAGCCAACAATAGGCACCAATATATGGTAGCTATTAAAAACTAATAATGTGAATATTATTTTCCTTAGTTTTAAGCCCTGATTGAATTTCTGTTTTCGATGGAGACATTCTATATATTATAGACCTATATTATTGATCCAGCCTCAGGTCAGAGCTGATTTAAAATCAGAAAAGCAGGGCGCCTTGGCTCAGTTGGTTAAGTGACTGCCTTCGGCCCAGGTCATGATCCTGGAGTCCCGGGATCGAGTTCCGCATCGCAGGGACTCCTGCTTGGCAGGGAGTCTTTTTTAATTAATACAAATGCATGCAAATTATTTATTCATATTAACTCCTTCTGACCCTCCCCCCTCTCATGTGCTCTCTTTCTCTCTCATTCTCTCTCTCTCAAATAAAATAAATAAAATCTTAAACAACAACAACAACAACAACAAAAAAACAGAAAAGCAGGGGCGCCTGGGTGGCTTAGTCTGTTAAGCATCTGCCTTCAGCTCAGGTCATGATCACAGGGTCCTGGAGTCAGGCTCCCTGCTGCTCAGTGGGGAGTCTCTTTCTCCCTTTGCGTGCCCCCCGCCCCCCCCCCCGCCCCGCTCGTGCTGTCTCTCTCTCTCCCTCCCTCTTTCTCTCTCAATCACCT